ACTGCAATCTAATGCTATAAATCTTGTGGTAACAAGTTTGATACTAATTAATTATATCTGAAAATAGAAAGGCCCACTGAGAAAACACACCAATAAGCAGCAGCAGTAAAGAAAGCACTCAAGTTAGGCTGAAAAACCACCCAAAGAAAACCCAACAAGAGAAACGGGTGCCGAGGTGCCGAAGCCCACACTTAAAAATGTTTGATTTTCTTTGTTAGCTACAGCCCAATGATTCCTATTCTCAATTAGACCCAAACCAATAATGACAAGTTTATTTAATAAAAATTAATTAGACTCTTTTGTGCATTTTGCACTTCTTGACTTCATTTTTCTCTGATAAACGATAGCATTAGTACGGTAAATTGTTTGTTAAGAAGAAGAATAATCAGTAGAGATCAAATTCACATTAGAGTACATAAGCATCAATATTTTATACCACTGCTATAAAACGCCATCTGTATGTTCGTTACTTCTCTTTTATTTATTCATGATAGCAAAAAATAAAGAGGAGGGTGCATGAAGAGAAAAAAGTGTTGGTATTGATCATACGCATGCTAATTAAGAATGGATATGCAAGGTATGAATATTATTTTGGGGTTAAGTCTGGATAACTACTTAACTTTTTAGGGTGATTCTTAACATTTTAAAACATTCCTAATGACTACCTAACGTCTTGAAAAGTGGATATATGTTAGGTCCATTAGCGTTAAGTGATAATGTGAACAATTATTAAACTAGGGTTTTACTCTCAAGTCATCTATGGAGTTTTGAATCTCCAAACAGACCAACTTTAGTATTTGTTTACCTCATCATTTAATGCTAGAAATAGCTCCAAAGACGATGACAACTAGTACAGCTCCAAAGACTATGTCCAATTTTTAAAACATTAGGTAGTTAATTAAAATATTTAAAGGGTTGAGACTAATATAATATCACCTTTACAAGTTGGATAATTATCCATACTTATCCATCATTTGAATTCATGAAATATCATATGTTCACTAACATCTAAAGAATAAAAATAAAAATAAAATCAGTATCCATAAACAATTAGGTATCAAATCATCAAATGGGTGGTTTATCTTAAGCCAAGTATCATTTTGATTCACGACTTCTTCGATTTCAAATAATTAAACATGTTATCATAGAGTGGTACGTACAATTAATTTTTGGTGTTTCTAGATTTATATACCATTGTTTCTATCACATTAGAGTGACTCGCACTATGAATAGTGACAAGACAAATGTATACACATCTAGTTACAAGATATGTTGTCTCAAAATTACCATGCTAGAATGAAAAGGAGAAAAATGTCATGACCAGTACCAATTGTCAACAATGTCTAGCTAAAAAATTGTTTCCCTATAAACATGTTTTGATTTCAAGATGTTATATTTGAGCAGACAGATATTCTAATTTCATGAACAATCCCTACAAGAATCTCCATGTAACGCAATGAGTAGCAAGTCAAGAATCACATTCAATTTTAATTAGCCAATAACCATGCTAAAACAACTAAAAAAAACATGTTGTAACACAACCTTTAACAACTGATCCAGAGTTACGTGCCAAATGTTTTCTAGCAATACGGTGGTAACCATTAGAATTAACTTGGCTTCTCAATGAACGAGGAGGAGTTTCTCCTCAATTCAATATATGACCAATGTACATAACTTTATATTTATAATTGGAACCGTTCATATTATAAAACAAGTTGAAAAGTTTACAAACTTTAACCACCCAAGATGCATTTGGTTATTTACTAAAATCTTATTTGCAGGAAAATGAATGATGAAACATAGTTTAATGTTATTGTGGCATTTTGAATTTGAACCACTAATACAATACATGGTTTTATATTAATTGCCTAAAAAATCATGGTCATGGTAAAATCGTTTCATAGATCTCTATTTCCATTTGTACAAAACAACAACAAATTTTTATCGCACTAAACCGGGTATGTATGAATCCTAGAACATCTCTGTGTTCAATTTTGCGTCAAATCTTCCTTTAAATCCAAGTGCTCCATGTCTACCTATTTCCATTTGTACATTAAAAAAAGGGGTGTACCATCCACACACATCTTTTTACTTCTTACACACCCCTTGATAATTTATGTCCGTTGATCTTCTTCAATTAATCCGACCTAACGGCTGAAAACTAAAAAAATGTGAGAGAAGTAAAAAGAGGTGTGTGGATATCACACCTCTACAAAAATTGTTCTACAAGATTCCAAGTAAATTTTTTTATTTTTATTTTATTTTATCAAGGATTCCAAGTAATTTTAAATCCAGATAAATGCTTTCTAGTGGCCAAACCAATATTGCCCATAACGATTCCACTAGGACCACAACATGATTTTCTGAATAGAATGGCATGGATTGCAATGCTTTTCCATAAATGCCAAGAAAAAAATACCATTTGGCATGGAGGATTGGCGATGGGGCCTTCAGAGACTGAGTTGGTCGCCACCAACAACACACCTAACCCACCTGAATAATGAATGCAGATCACAATGTGAAGAACATCACATTCTTTTAAATAGATGATCAATAAATTCAATTTCCTATGGACCATGGCAAATAGTACAGAGTTTAAATAAGAAGTGTTTGATATGCATGTTTGTCAAGCTAAAATGGAGGAGAAAAGGAGAGAGCAATATTTATATAGCTCCCAATCGAGAAATACAAAAATAATATACAATTTATATGTGAGAGGTCCACTTCTAATATTACCAAAGTTTTTATGATAAAACTGCATACCTAGCAATAGATCATAAGTGGTTAAGTGAGGTAGCGGCGAAGCTAGAGTTACATATCACAAGGGTCTTAAAAGTCTCACGCTTAAACTCATAGTGGCGTCGTTTAACTGCACATGAGCCACTAATCTCAAATCGAGCCCAGTGAAGAAAATAAGGAAAAGATTATGGTTGTTGCTCTAATCCTATGAAAATCTTCGGAAATCAGAGTGATAACTCTAGATTGTTTTGTGTGAAGAAAATGTCAGAGTAGGCCCAAGACCATTTTGGTCCCTTCATGGCTCTACCCTTAAAGTGAGGACAACATCGGTGATGCTGGCAGTGGACTATGTTAGATCTGAAAACTTTATCAACTTCAATAATTGTTGTTGAGAAAAAGAGCAACCTGCGGCTTAAGGTTTCTTGGCGTTGTTGGTTTCAGTTTCACATCAAATCGAACCAATGATGAACCATGAAAGCACATTGCGTTATTGGTTTCATCTCTGCTCAAACCAATTTTGACCTCCACAGTTAGTCGTCAACTGTATAACCAGCAACAAACTTCATGCTAAGTTTGATTAGCAACTCTCTATTAGCCTTCTACTCTTTCCCTTTTCATATATTTTCGCTCATCCTTTGGTTTGGTCATTATCTAGTGACCAAAATTATGTGTTCATTATGAAGTGAGTATATCTTTTATCGTGATCTTCTTACTTTCTGATAAAAAAAGAAATGAAAAATGACTACTCTACAATTATACACCCTTTTGTTTTTTGGTTAACAGAATCTAACACATCTAAGATCTCATAATTTTTGTCCTTTTAAAATTTGAAATGTTGTAGAACCAACGAAAAATAAAGAATAATTTCTTGTTCATACTCTTCGTCTTTTCCAGCATCTCTCTGGTTTTTTTCCCCATTTCTCGGACCTACTATATGAATGCACATGTAGGTAGTATAAACTTTTTGGTCTTTTATAGTGATATATTATTACAAAATATCTGTCAATGTGTCGCGTATATGTATTATGAAAGTTGTCTTTAATAATAATTTCTTATGTGCTTGTAGTACAAACACATGAAAATAATTACATACTAAAAATGAGACATACAAATTTTATCATCCATTTATATTATAATACGTTAAATAATATTTAACATGACAATTCAGAATTATGACACAGAAATTTATTCTTTTTAACGCCAAAAGAGTCGTAGGAAGTTTGAAAAACTCGAGACGGATAATATATCCAACTTCGGACGTAAAGCTCGAAATCAAATCCAGTTTTATGATCTCATGAAACGACAAATATGTCGTCTGTTTTCTCTGCCAACTCCGTCTGGGTAACTTTACATTTCTCTCCCTCTCTCTCTCTCTCTCCCCCCCCCCCCCCCCCCTTTCCTTCTCTCTCTTCTCCGCTCTTCTCTCTCACTCAAAAACAGGGTAAACGGTCCACTCCCTCCACTCTCCAAAATCTCCCAACACACAAAGCAAAAAATATCCAAAAATTTAGAGACAGAAAGCCTCGGAAACTGCAACAACAAAGCTAGAAAAAGAAAGGAAGAAAGTGAACAGTTTTCACACTCATCACTTCTCTGCATTATCAAAATATACTTCATCATCTCCCACAAGCTCACCAAGTAAGTCCATTTTTCATGTCTTTTGGTATTCTCTCATTTAATCTGCTCTCTTTTGTCTGCTGTGAAAATGTGGAGAAAACAGAGGAACAAATCCCATTTCTTTGTGCATTTTTCAGCATTTTGTTTTCTGATGTTTAATGGGTTTTCTGTTTTCAAAAATGGGGTTCTCTTTCTTTTTCTTTTCTCACATTTTCTCAGCAACCAAACAGGGATTTTTGGTGTTGTTTATCTTCATATTTTACTGTTTTTTTTCTTAAATTTATTTCTGTAGTCTCTCAAGGGTAATGATGTTTCTTTTTATATTCTTTTCGGATGAAATCTGAGCATAAAAAGAATCTCCTCTGCTGAGTGATAACAACGCAATGCAGCAGCTTCTCTTTTTCCTGCTCAAGTGCTTCGACATTTGCAGGCTTTTCTTTGTCTTTTTTCCGGCTTAAAAAAAGCAAAGTCGAATCTCAAAAAGTTGTTCTATACAATCAAGTTTTCAACTTTCGCTTTTCCTCTTCAATTTTGTTTAGCTGCATTACTTGCTTTTTTTCTGCAGATTCTGATTCCGTATTTTATTTTATTTTCTTGGGTTTACGTTGTCTTTGGATCTGTTTCTGTTTGTTTGTTTCTCGGGAAAAAAATGATGCCTTCCGAGAAAATAATGTTTTGTTAAAAAAAAAAAAAAAAGCAAGAGACAACCTTTGAGAAAAGATAACTATTTTGTGTTCATCACTTCGAACTAGTCCCCTCATTTTACGGCAGAACTGGAGGAGGCAACTTTCTTTTTAGTTTTCTCTCGCATCCGAAACTACCCTTGTTCCGAAACAAAACTAACAAATGCTCATTGCGAGGATTAGGGGTATTCCTGTAATGATGACTGGCTAGCAGTGCTTACAATGATGGATCATGAGCACGATTAGAAACCTGTGGGACTTGTTAGTTGGTACGTGATTTGATTTTTAGTTACGAGCGATATTACTACTATAAGCTACACTAAAGGGGAGAGGAGGAGGGCTTGAACCGGAAACTGTTTGAAGGCAATTGGTACAAGATTTAGCTTTTAGTTACGAGTGATATTACTACTATAAGCTACGCTAAAGGAGAGGAGGAGGGTTTGAACCCGAAACTCCGGACGTAGCGGTTTGAAGCAGTCCACCACTTGCAACTTGGTACCAAGCATTTAATTGGGTTTTTGAGATGCTTTTTTTACTTTTTCTTTTTTTTTTTTTGGGTCGGAAGAAAATGGTTGGTTAGAATTTGTAGTTGGCACATCTTTTCCATAATGTCTTTCTGTGTTAATGATAAGGAGCACATGTCCCTCATGAAACCAATTTATTTCTTTGAACATTTAAAACATTGGATTCCCCCCGTCCCGGCTTGTGATCTTGCTTCAACTGTTTCAGGTCTTGGTGGGTCGAGGGCATTCAAGTAGCGAAGCATAAATCAGTTCCGTCTCGTTCGCAACTTTTGCTGCTAGAAAAGGCAGTTGCATTATGCAGACCCCTAAAGCAAGGTAACTTTCACTTGCCCTTTTCTGTGATTGGCATCTTGTTCTCCTCTTTAAAAGCTTGTTCGTGTGTTTGCTTGTTCGAATGCAGCGTTGTTTTGGTTTTTTTTGAGGCAAAAGGTAACGTTGTTCTATAATGTTGCGTACTTTTCTGTATTGCTATGTATAACCTAATGAGGGTAGTAGTACTAATGCTCACCAATGCTGCAAAACCGATGTCATAGCAGCTGCTCTTTTTTGTTCAAATAAATTCAAGTTCTCACGTCTGGTTTAGGGGTTGTCCTATTTCTGTGGATGTCAGACTTGTAGTTGTATTTCATTTACCAATCGATTCGTGCGCTTCCACCTCTGACAGTTGTGGACCAGTTCTGTGGTAAGGCCCTTGGTAGTGATATCTGTCTATCTGCATAATCATAAATATTTGGCAACTTCTTGTCTCCTTCCTTTGAGGTAATTTTGGGGCCTCTTGGCAGCTACACTGCAGCATTCAGGACCTACTGGAGTTATCGAAGGAGCGTTGCATAAACTCATCCGCGCATTAGATTAAGGATTTATTTGTTGTGAAATTTGTTTGCGTGCTGTCTTTGATTTTTCGTTCAATGTGGGAGAAGAATATTATCATTACATGCCATCAGTATCATTATTTTAAACATCTTAGCTAATGAAGGGAAATCATGTCACCATGTTGCATTTCTTTGTAATCAATTGGCAAACTCAAAATTAAACTTTCCCGGTAGCCAATAAATCTCATCACAAAATTTTTGTAATTTTCCGCACCATTCTCTGTGGTCGTTGCAGGAAATTTTTTTCTTGACAGTTCAAAGAAGTGTGTGCAACAAAGTTTATGTGGTTTTTCTTCGTCTTGGTTTGTGTGAATGTGTGATTATTACTCAAGGACATTGGCATTTTCCATTTCAAACATTAGGATTCTTAAACTTTGAGATTTTTTTAATGGAAAGATCGAATGCAAGTTTTTGCTGTAATTCAAACTGGATAGAATATAGAATTAAAACGTTTCGAAGCCAAAGAAAGGAAGTTATAAGGACGGTATGTTTGTTGGACAAATGACAGAAACTCCGGACTGCTTTTATAGGATCTGAAGCTGAGAATTCCTGTTGCCATTTTGAGTGATAATGTTTGACTGATTTTTTTTATTTTTTTATTTTTTTTCATAGAAGTGGCTCCTCTGAAGTGCCTCAAAGGGTTTCTCCTCCTCAAAAGGTGTCTCCTTCCCAAAAGGTCTCCCCTCGAGTTGCTCGCCAACTCAGGCCAACTGCATTGGAGACTACTGACTCTGCATCTACTTCAAGTCAAGCTAAAAGAGCAACTAAAGATAGAAGCCCAAAAGTCACTGAGCGTCGGTCACCCAGAAGTCCAGTGTTTGAGGTACTTATAAACAAACTCCACGAGTCCTTCTGCTCTTTGACAACCTACAGAATTATATAACCACTGGAAAGTATGGATAGTCTAAACTCTAAACCCTTGGGTGGAAATTTTGTTTCCATCTTAAAGTTCTCCAACACAATTCGACACATTAGCCTGGCCTCAGTAGTTTTCTTTATCTTTGTCTTTCCAAAAAATTACCTTCAATTGGGTAATTCTTTTGGCAGTGGTGGGATTTGCAAGTAAAAATGCTTGTGTTGCGTGCATTGTCTATGTCTTTCTTGAGGTACAAAAAATTCTAAAACTTAATCTCTGTTCTTGACGCAGAAGAAGGGCCCAAGTAGAATATCCGAGTTGCAATCTCAGATTTCTCAGCTCCAAGAGGATCTGAAGAAAGCAAAGAACGAGCTGCAATCTTCTGAATCATGCAAGAAGCAAGCTCAGCAAGATGCCGAGGAGTCCAAGAAGCAAGTACTGGCCTTGTCCTCAAAGCTCGAAGAATCCCAGCTGCTGCTTCCTGAGCTTTCTATTTCTGAGGAAGCTCGTGTTATCAAGCTCCACAAGATTTCACAAGAAAGAGACCAAGCGTGGCAGTCCGAGCTTGAGACTGTGCAGAAGCAGCACTCAGTTGACTCAGCTGCCTTGGCATCTGCTGTTGATGAGATTGAGAGGCTTAAGGCGCAGCTTGAAGTGGTGGCTGCATCTGAGGCTGATCAGATAAAGCATGCAGAATCATCAAATGCTCAGCTTCAAATCTTGAAAGAAAACTTGGCTGAAACACTTTCTCTTGTGGAGAACATGAAAACACAATTAAAGGACTCTAAGGAATCCGAGGCTCAAGCACAAGCAATGGTTAGTGAAACCCTACTGCAGCTGGAGTCCGCGAGAACAACAATGGAGGCACTCAGGTTAGATGGCACGAAATCGACAGAAGCTTACAAGTCCATTGCTTCAGAGTTAGATCAGTCAAAGGCACGTGTAAATTTACTAGAAGAACTTGTTGGCAAACTCAAGGCTGACCTGATTAATGCAAGCAGCAACGTTTCACAAAATCAGGCTGGTAAAAATGAGCTTCAGCAAAAATTTGAAGAAAAGCAAGAGACTATGGAGCCAAACCAGACTGAGGCAGAACTTCAAGACTTGAAGTCCGAAGTGGCACGGCTAAGATCTAGTCTTGAAACTGCTGAGACCAAATACCATGAAGAACAAATTCAGAGCACCGTGCAGCTAAGAAGTGCTCATGAACTGGTGGAGCAGATAAAATCTGCATCTAGTCAGAGAGAGGGGGAACTGGAAGCATTATTGACGAAAACCAAGGCTGAAGTTGAAGAGTTGAAGGCCCACCTGATGGACAAGGAAACTGAATTACAAGGCATTACAGAGGAGAATGAGGGGCTCAATTCGAAGCTTGAAAAGAGCCTGTCATGCCAGAGAGAGTATGAACTGGAAAAGGAATTGAAAGAACTAAAAGGGCATGTTACGGATTTAAAGGCTTATTTGATGGACAAGGAAACGGAACTGCAGAGTATTTCAGAAGAGAATGAAACGCTGAGGTTGGAAATCAACAAAAGCCAAAGTAAAGCTAACGATGAGGTAGAGGCAGAAGTAGAGGCTGCAAAGTGTGCAGAGCGAGAGGCTCTCGTGAAGCTTGGCATTGTGATGGAAGAGGCAGACAAGAGCAGCAAGAAGGTAGCAAGAGTGGCGGAACAGCTGGAGGCAGCACAGGCAGCCAATGCAGAAATGGAGGCGGAACTAAGAAGGTTAAAGGTGCAGTCCAACCAGTGGAGGAAGGCAGCGGAGGCAGCTGCAACCATGCTTTCATCAGGAAATAACGGCAAGCTGATGGAGAGAACTGGATCACTGGACAGCAGCTATAATCATGTCACCAGGAAGTTTGGCTCGCCTGACTCTGAAGATATGGATGATGATTTACTGAAGAAGAAAAATGGGAACATGCTGAAGAAGATTGGGGTCTTTTGGAAAAAGCCACAGAAATAAAAATCCTCCTGGGCAGGTTGATAACTTGATCCATCCATCAACTATATGGGATTTTCATCCTTGCAAGTATAGTTCTTCCTCTTCGTTTCTAACTACCTTTCTGTGTTTCCTTGGACAGAAATATGGTTTTCGGGGTATGGCTAATCTGGTTTGTTTAATTGGCAATCTTCTTAGCTTCCAATACTGGTGCAGTGGCTGCATGGTTTAGGACAAGATTTACTGTTATGTGAGACATGAGTGATGGAAGGTATATCTGTATGTATTGGTTAAGTTCAAGATTTACTGTTATGTGAGACAACATTTACTTGGTAAAATATGTGGGTTAGTTGTTGACCTGCTCTTTTCTATCCTTTTTGAGCTTCTGTTTGCTTAGTTCCTCTGTTAATTGTTGAATGGAAATTTCCTGTTCGTAACTATTTGAGCTTTGCCCAATCAACAGAGGATCCCAACTTCCTACCAATGATACGCCACGAATTTTAGCATGGCACTCCACAAATTATTTTGGGACGCCGTCACCTTAGAGTCTCACAAATATTTGGGGAAAAAATATAAAATTGGGAATATTCCTATACTAAACCAAAATACTAGCAAGTAGATGGTGTTTTTACAGTAGTGACGAAAAGCAATACTACGTATTCATCTTGGTATGGGTGCGATTCCAACTAGTCTCCATCCCCTCTAACATGTGACGATTTAACCTGCTAACACTATTGCCTACCAAAGAAAAAGATATTGAATGTCCCGTTAATATTAATTTGGCAATTTAAAAACTAGACAATCTTTGGTAAGAGCCCCTCTTTCTCATCATTAGTCAGTATTACTTGTATACGAAACGAAACTATGGAATTTCCCAATTTGGTACATCATTATTACACACCAAAGCTATGTTCTGGGGCACACCAAATGGCAAACACCTGAGTTGAACTTCATACATAAAAGAGAAAGTGCTTTACATAACTCAAACCATTTTCTTAATTCTGAAAAACAAAATATTGTGAGAATCAAATCCTTTATTATGTAGTATTTACAAAATAATTTATTCAAATTTGTTGATTCTTATCGGAAAACGCTTGGCTCCTTACATGCAATAACTCATTCATGTTGTACAGATAAATCACAGTTTAACATGTGCCTTTAAACTTTCTTAAAAGTTAGTACGAATGACTCCTCACATACACATTTTTTCTTTCCTTTTGATTTTTGAAATATCTCATAATCTAAGCTTAAGAAAGAGAATTCGAAATTTAGGTGCATAAATCACACATGTTGTAGTCAATATGATTTCACTTGTAAGTGAGAGGTCATATGTTCGATTCTTGCCAAAGATGAATTTGAACCACATTGTGACTAGCTCATTGTGATGCTTAGCCTAATCTCTCATCCCTCAGTATAGATAATATCGTTTGTTCAAAAAAAAATATTGGGGAAGGGTTTATAACATAGTGGGCCCTTTTTAGGTTCTTAATGAAGGCCCGTTGTCATTGAAAAATCAAACTTGTAAGCCCAAAGAGAAGGCGTATATTTAAAGAAAGCGCGATAAGTCCCTAGGGTTTCTCTTTGCTGTTAGCGACCTTGAAGCTCTTCTTCCTGCGGCTCCAATTCTCTCCCTGCAAATCGCCCACTTTCTTCTTGTTCCGTCGCCATGGGGTAAGCTTCTACTTCCTTCGTCAATTCTTTCCACTCTTCGCTCTCTGTTTGTTTCCTCTGAAACTATTTTCTCGATTGAATTTCTCGCTTAAACTCTGCTCTAAATCTCTGTAAATTTGCAAACTTTAGTTAGACGAAGTAGATTATGGAGAAGATTGATTCTTTTGCGACTCATATTGTATTATTTAATGGAAATTATTACGCACCGGTTTGGATCCGAGTATCGACTGCATATGTTCATACTGCTAAGATGATTTCGATTAAGTTCTTGATGTTTTTATTAGATATGTTTAATAAGTTGGAATACTTTTATGTGGTATTTTTTTGGGAGGAAGAGCTTCTTTTTTTTCTTGGGAATTTCCAGGAAATGTTTTGTTGGTAAGAAAGATGGAAGTTCTATACACTTTATGATGATTTAGGTCAAAGACCAAATTACAGTCAAGAAGATTTGTTCGGAAATATTTCATGTTTTTTGATGTATCGAACAGGGGTAAGTTTTTTATCGAAAGTTTGTCAGTTGAATGTATTTATCGAAATATGGATCTTTGGTTTTGATGAACATGTGTCCCGCTACAACTTGTCTTCAAAACGTTTGTATTCAGTGAGCTTGAATTTGTGCCTGGATGCCATCACTTACTGGCTATTAGATTGCAAGAAAACAATCGAGCATTATACAGTATTCATGTGAAGTAGCTTTTGGTTGGATGTAATCGTTATAGATTCTAAGTTGTAAGATAAAAAAATGCCTTAACCCTGCTGCCAAATTTTTACAGGAAGACACGGGGAATGGGAGCAGCTCGCAAGCTGAAGACCCACCGCAGGAACCAAAGGTGGGCTGACAAATCTTACAAGAAGTCCCATCTTGGAAATGAGTGGAAGAAACCATTTTCTGGATCTTCCCACGCAAAGGGCATTGTTCTTGAGAAAATGTAAGTAAAATTAGCTAGATGCCTTTTCCATTAAAATTTTTAACCAATCCAATTTAGACATGGATCTTACGATATTTGGATGTTTAATTATGCAGTGGTATTGAAGCTAAGCAGCCTAACTCTGCCATTAGAAAGTGTGCTCGAGTTCAGCTTATTAAGAACGGAAAGAAGATTGCTGCCTTTGTGCCGAACGATGGTTGCTTGAACTACATTGAGGAAAATGTGAGTATAGTGGAGAAAAACTGTGTTGCCAGAATATGGCAATTATGTTAAATGCTGCCCCTGGTATTTTAAGTTTTTTGGGTTGTACTGACTATTGTGGCCGCCTGCAGGACGAGGTTCTGATTGCTGGATTTGGTCGTAAAGGTCATGCTGTTGGTGATATTCCCGGAGTTAGGTTCAAGGTCGTGAAGGTTTCAGGCGTGTCCCTTCTGGCCCTCTTTAAGGAGAAGAAGGAGAAGCCAAGGTCTTAAGTTTGTTATAAAATGTTTTATTTGTTGTGCTACTTCGACATTTTGATTTAGAGACAATTTTGTCAGCATTTTATGCACTTTTTGTTTCCCTTTTCCCTTGCTCCCTTACTCTATGTTCGGATGCTTATGTTTTAACGATGGAAATTTCTGTGGCCACATATCATTTTCATTTCCTTCGTAGTGAATTGTTTGTGTTCATCGTTCTTGTTCTCTTGATTGCCTGAATGTTCCATTCAGGTTGAATTTCCGGTTTTATCGCAACAAATGTTTTAACTGGATATGCTGTTTTGTTTTATGTTGAACCTTGTGGATTTGGTATTGCTGGAGTTTTGCTGGTTTCTTGACGCTGTATCTGAGTTAGCATTTTGCTTTGTCACTCGGAACCAACTTCTTTGCCGGTTTCCTCGTGCCCTAGATGTGTTAGCTTCCGAAGCATTCTCTCTGAATAACAGCACCATGATTTCATCTCCCAAGGACTTGGGGTTGTTATTCGAAAAATTGTTATTTCGCCTCGAGTCTTGTTCTTCAAGACTTCATGGTCCAAGAAAATTGTGGTCACCCACAATGTAACGGTAGGTGACAATTTTTTTGGACCATGGAATCCAAAGAGAATGGGTTTGATTTCTCTTTGAATATAGAAAACGGTTTGTTTGGTGATCGTGATCTTACATCTGCCTCCCATTTCCACTAGCAATAGATCATTCAGTTTCACAAGTTTGTCTTTTTTACTAGGCAATATTTTTATTAATTACTTTAATCTACATGAATGGGGATTCGAATTAATATGCGCATATGTTTATACGATTTTTTACAAAGCTAAAGACTCGCTTGGAAGTAGTTTTAAAGTGACTAAAAGCCTTTTTGTGAAATTGATTTTTGGTTCCAAATTGATATTGGGTTCCAAAAACACTTTAAGTGCTTTCTGGAAGAAGCACAAGGAAGCACTTAAAATGTTTTTATAGGATCTACTTGTACATCGTACGGTCAGAAATCATTTCAATTTTTAAAATTTAAAATTAAATATAAATAGTACCTAACGAAAACTGATTGCATGATGAACGGTCATGATTGCGGTCCCTTTCCTTTACTAATAATTGGAATAAAAAACATTAGCACCAAAAGCGCTTTAGTCATTTTAAAAGCATTTCCAGACGAGCCCTAAGTCATTTGTGATAATTTTATATAAATTACACACCGCTCACAGGTTTTTTTTTTTTTTTTAAAGCTATTCGAGAATCTGTTCTGTTTGTGTGTTAACCCACTTCCGCCAACCAATTGAAAGGAGAAAAAGCCCAACATTGGAGCCTGCAAATGAAAGGCCCATTTCTTCCGCTGCTTCGTCTCTCAATCCCCTTATATAAAAGGAAAACTAATGAAATGAGCTTCAAATCTTTACATTTTAATCAAAAACCATACACTAAATTTTATTTAATGATAAGAACAAAAAATAAAAAACTTAAAAAAATCCAAGTGCACTGAGCGCATGTCCCTTCCCCCTTCCCAAACTCTATACCCCATCCCAATCCCTTCTTCCACAATACCTATAGTCTATCCCTCCTTCACTAATACCAGTAATTCCGCTGCAAGATCACCTCCATCATCCACTCTCGTCGCTCGTTACTCCTCGCCATCGTCAATTTTCGATCCCCCAGCCTTTACAGAAAGCTTTGCCTACGACCCATCCACCCAACACTTCATCGTCATCTCCATCCACAAACGCACCATCATCTCTGTCTCTGCACCTCATTCCACGACAAAGCCTAGCAAACCTATACCCTAATTGCCTAACCTTCAAATCAAACCCAGTTTCCTCCATACCTCATTTTTTGGAAAGCCATAGCTTGATGGAACAAGGTTGCATAAGGGAAGGTTTGCCCATAATAGAAGGGAACAATATCAAATCAAATCAAGTCCATTAACTGCCTTTTTCAATACAAAGTGAATTGTTTGAGAAAATTGCAAATTCTGATTAATCCATGGTATCGCAGGTTCTAGATGGTTGCTAACTCTGACTATATTTTCATAAACAGTATAGTAAGTTTCATAAATAGTGTCCTAAGTTTTCATAAACAGTGTAGTAAGTTCATAAACAATGTGGAAAGTTTCATAAATAGTTTGTGCGCGCGTCAACATTTTTTTTAATATTAAAATTATGTCTTTTTCATTAAAATTTAAGTTATTTTGTCATTTTTATTAAAATTTAATGGTTTTTCATTAAATTGTAAGTCTTTTTAATTAAATAAAGTTATAGCATGATTTTTTATTAAAATAAACTTTGCCTAAACCCTTTTCATGAAAGT